TTCTGTCAGTCAACTAAAAATTTCAATTCATCAAAGATGGGCTAACCTAACATGTATTATCAGACCTGGGATTATTATGAGCGAGGACCCAATGAAAAAGATCAAGAACATGAATGAGCAAGCAGCAAACCTTGCAGCAACACTCCCAAAAGAAAGAGCTTTATTGTTCGCAGTATCACTTTCTTTGTCGCTGCTGGTCTGTTAGAGGCTTTCTGCATGGTGACCATAATTTCAAAAATTGAATATTAATTTACAATATCCATATTGGCAGAATAAATATTACAAAAGGCATAACATGCGGATGTTTGATGCCCGCTATGCAGACTAAATAATTTTCTCATCCAGAAAATGAAAAATGTCAATCAAGACTCCACTCTCAGTCTGTAGCTTAAAGAGGTATCAGTAATGCTTTCAATCTCCAAGACATGCAATATATCTTGCATTTAAATAACTAATAACAAGCGACTAAATCTCACACTTCATAAGCTTTCTTGCCTTGAATACAAGGCTGATGGAGACACCAACACCAAAGAGAAAAAAAGGCATTACAAAATCAGCAAGTGTTACACCAAACCATGGTGAGTGATTAATTGACGGAAAAGCTCCTCCGGCATCATCTATTAAAATCATTAGCTGCAAATAAAATATAGAAATGGGATTAAACTTAGCTGCAATCAGCTACTAACCATGTTTTATGAAGGTATAATATCATGCCTGCATTGCTCTACCCAACAAAGAAATTTCATAAACAGGACAAATTACCTCAACTAATCAGCAGAACTAAATAGTCAATGCCCAAAAATATTTTAATGACTAGCAAGAAAACAACAATCGGCAAAGTCCATAATCTGCATCAACATGAGCTTTCACATACACATACACCAATTTTATGTCTGTGTGTTACTGATGAAGACTTCCCTTCGGAGTTACCAACTTCTCTTCTGCCATAACTAGTATACTCAATTCACACCCAAATTATCAACAACTACATACAAACTTCACCAGAGAAAGTATTATCCAAAACTAAGAAACACGTCCAAATTTAGAATTATTACCAGGCCAATTCCATTACAGTCAAAAACAAAAAAGAATTAGCGAAATTCAGGCAACATACAGCGACAGTAAGCCCACGGAAGACATCGAGGGACTCCAGCCGTTGATTCTTCCCGGATGGACAAGGTGACTGTTCGTCTGGCCCATTGGCCGGTGGATACAGGACGATCTCTTCATCATCTTCATGGACTCGACCTCTCTGCGAAGTACTGTGAAGGAGAGGTTCTCGCTGTTCTTCACCAATTGACATTTTTTACAAATTTTCTTCTAGTCGTCAACTTCTCTTTTTCTGGTTCTCCTGTTCTCTAGAAGCGCAAGCTGTGACGAAGGGGAATCGGGAAACGAAGCTGCGAAAAAGGTGGTGTGTCTGGGTAAGTTGACAGACCGTCTGATAGGACCTTGACGAACCCCTTAGAGTCGCTAACCCGCGTGCAAAGCATTGGATTACCGAGAAATAATTACGTATTAACTTCAAATTTTTTTTAATCCTCGGTTTTTACCTTCCCAATAAATTACCACTACGTACTGAAAAAAATCCAAAATTTCGCCATAAAATACTTTTAAATATTTTTATTGATGAAAATAATGATCATAAATTTTTTTCAAGGTTTTAGTTATAAATTAATGTGATAAATATTAAATTTTGACTTTTTATCTTATTAATTTAAACAAATTATATGTCAAATATTCATTTATTATAATTTTAGTTCTCACCAATATTTTTTTGTCAAAACAATTATATAATAATATGTTAGAATAAAATTTAATTTAATTATTATATTTTATTAATAAACTAATAAATTAAATTATAAATTTATTAAATTAAATATTATAAATTAATTCATGCAAACTTATAATATATTTATAGAATTGATAATTTTGACTTTTAAGTGATATTCTAATTTATAGATGAAATACTAAAATCCTAGCTATTAATCCGTTGCACATAATTACTTTTAATAATCTCTGGACTAATACCCTTTTGCACTGTAATCCCGGTGCATGCACTGGTTTTAATTATGGTAAATTTACTTTGATTTCCATTTGAAAACTGAATTAAATCATTAAATTAATTAGGAAAAATATCCTCGATTTTATTTCTCTCTTCCCATTTTAGCCTGCAATACATTAAATTCATTAACAAAAACAGAGGAGAAGATACCGAGTGAAACAGAGAAGAGGGATGCCAGAAAGAACTAACATATGGGGGGGTTCGTTTGAAATAATAACAAAAAATCAAGACCAGCAAGGCAGAGATGACGGCGGAGACTCTGGATATGACGCGGCTGCTTACCGTTCGCCGGTGTCGGAGGAAGAGGTGAAGCAAAGCTGGCTACTGAGGCCCGTGATTGAAAGAGAGAAGAAGAGGAAGAAGATGAAGATGAGGAGATACGTAAATGCTATGGTGGTGAGGACCTTATTGGTGGTTCTAGTATTGGCCGGCGTCCTCGGACTCATTGCTTACGTCTCCACTCGCCGTCGTCACCACCGACCACTCACCGGACCCGATAACTACACCGTCGCCCTCCGCCATGCACTCATGTTCTTCAATGCACAACGATGTATGTACACTCCTCTGATGTCTTCTTCTTCTTCTAGATATTCACATGTAATATTTTTATTGAATCTTCAAATATTTTTTTTATTCGGTTTAAAGTGGACTCAAGATAAATCTGAGTTTAGAACATCATTTCAATAACCTGAACTAGAATTCTGAGATATTTAATTCAAAAATTCATATTGTTATGTATGAATAAATTAAATATATCTTATTGAATATATAATATATTAATTACTATATTTTTTAAAAGTTATTAATATTTTATTTGAATAATTTAAATATTATGTATAGAATTTTATTTGAGCCCTCGCCCAAAGTTAAAATTTATCTGGGCTCAGCTCTTCATTTGGGCTATTTTTTTATTAATGGGGCCAACCTTTTTCTTCTAATGAAGTGCAAACTTGGCAATATAAATTCCAAAGAAGCTTCCAACCAAATTCAGGTAAATCAATATTTAAGAAATTTAAATTAGATATTTACGTTTTTAATTCAATTTTGTTCTTAGCTAAAATAATTATAATTTGTACTGTTAGTTTAAACATATTATTAAAATAATTATTTACTAAAAATATTTTTAATATAAAATATTATTTAATATTTAATAAAAATATTATGATTTAAAAAAAAAAAAAAAAGAAAAATTATCTAATTAATAAAATTGACTTTTAAAATTTTAAGTGTAAATTTTTAGTAAAATGCAAAATCATTTTGAAGTGTTTGGTGAAATTGCCGTTTAATTTTAACAGTATCACCCATTTAATTACAGTAAGTAAGTATTTTTAAAACGCAAAGCTGAGTCGTGCAATCCTTTGCCTTCATGACTCTCCTGTATAATACTATGAAAGAAATTCTAACTTAGATCTTCTGATATATATTGCTTTTCGTTCTTTTATGGTACATGCAGCTGGAGAGCTTCCAAGGAACAATAATATCTGGTGGAGGGGTGACTCCTGCTTGAGAGATGGAGAGAAGTTTATGAAAGGTTTAACAGGTGGCTACTACGATGCTGGAGATGCAATGAAGTTCAGCTTCCCTGCATCTTTCACCATGACCATTTTGAGCTGGAGTGTGCTCGAGTATAGTGCAAAATATAAAGCCGCAGCAGAGCTTGACCATGTCAAAGACATCATCAAATGGGGGACAGATTACCTTCTCAGAACATTCAACTCCTCTGCTGATCATTCAATAGACCTCATTGCTTCGCAAGTGGGAGGGCGAGATGATCTCATTTGCTGGGTTCGTCCTGAACAGATTGAGTACGAAAGACCAGTGTCCACTTGCAGTATCTGCCCTGCACTGGCTGCAGAGATGACTGCAGCTTTAGCTTCTGCATCAATTGTTTTCAAAGAGAACAAGGAGTATTCAAAGAAACTGGTCCATGGTGCTGACTTGTTGTTTAAGTTTGCCACAAAGCAGCAAGGGGAAAACTACTCAGCGGGTCGAGATCCACCATCAGCTCAATATAACTCTAGTAGTTTCTGGGATGAGTTTGTTTGGGGTGGAACTTGGTTGTATTTTGCAACTGGAGATTCTTCCTATCTTGAGCTCGTCACTAGCCCTCTTTTGGCCAAAAAGGTTGATGCATCTGGGGGAGGTCGACATAGTGGCATGCTTAGCTGGGACAACAAGCATGTTGGTGCTCAGTTGCTTCTCACCCGCTTGAGGATGTTCTTGCCCTATGGATATCCATATGAACAGATGTTAAGAGTATTTCACAAGCAGGTAATGGAAACCATGTGCTCATACCTTCCAGATTTCCCTACCTACAACCGAACAAGAGGAGGATTGATTCAATTAAACCATGGAAGGCCTCGCCCTCTTCAATATGCTGTGAATGCAGCTTTCTTGGCTACTCTGTACAGTGATTACTTAGAAGCTACAATGACACCAGGATGGTACTGTGGAAATAATTTTTTCGAGAAGATAACATTGCGCAATTTTGCCAAGTCTCAAATGAATTACGTCCTTGGCAACAATCCTAGGAGTATGAGCTACATAGTAGGTTTTGGCAATCATTTCCCACAGCAGGTGCACCATAGAGGTGCTTCAATTCCCGCCAATAATACCCAACATGGTTGTAAGGATGGATATAGATGGAGAAACAGTAAGATGCCAAACCATTATACAATTGTGGGAGCCATGGTTGCTGGACCTTATAAAGATGATGCTTTCATTGATGAACGCAGCAACTACACTTGTACAGAACCAACCATTGCGGGTAATGCAGGTCTGGTTGCAGCGCTGGTAGCTTTGTCAGGTGAAGAAACTACTGGGATTGACAAGAACACCATTTTTTATTCAGTTCCTCCCATATCCCCAATCCAACCACCACCACCACCTCCTTGGACACCATAGATGTTTTCATACTCATTTCCTCTGGTCAAATAGACAAGATGGCTTGTGGATTTATGAATTTGTGGCATAGCATAGTCTTTCCAGTCATCTTTTGAAAAGAACTTTAGCAAGAAAAAAAAAAAAGGAAGTGTGTCTACCACTCCACCTGCCTGGTAAGTATTGTGTCATTCCTGAGAGCTATGGACGTAAATATTTTGCACTGGCTTACTATATTTTTCAACTTCTATTGAAATAAATCATAATGTACATAATGCTTTTAACAAAACAGTTTTAACAGCTTAAAATTCATACAGTTTTGTGCTACTAAGAAATGTATAAATACCCGTTGGACTAAATCAATGGAGGTTAAGGTGGTTCTTAGCATCGACGAGCTTTTGTGCAGCAGCAGCCAGAGTAGCATTGCTTTTGCAGAAAGCAAACCTGATATATCTTCTCTGATATCTATGACTTATCTGAGATAGATCCTCAGACGGGAAATTTGTGCGAAAGAATCCACATCCTGGTACAGCAACTACTCCTGCTTGATTTATTAATTCTTGAACGTATTCCAACTGAACGAATGGAAAGCTTTACTTGTTCTGTTAGAATAAATTAGTAGTACAGACCTAACAAAGTGGCGGCTAAGCACTGAAAGTAGTAGGGCAAAATAAAGGTCTAAACGAGCACAGCTTCACAAAGTAATCAAACTTCTTTAACGTGATTAATTTATTATACCAACAAAGTGAATAACTTGTTTGTAACACTTACGTCAGAAAGTAAGCAATGCTCTGGAAGCTCTGCAAATACGAAGACTGCACCTTGCGGCTTAAAGTGAATCTGGAAACCAATCCCAGAAAGCAACTTGACAAGGTAATCTCTTTTCGATTCATAATCCTATAGGGTTATTACTAAAAATCAGGAATTATTTAGGTATAATCACAAAGTTAGATATCCAAAATAGTATGAAGAAGCAAGTCATTATGAGTGGTTTTTGACAAAAGTTTGAAACCAATCTGAAAATAAAATTTGATATTTCTACCATTTTCAACGATTCAAAGTAATTTAGAGGGCTCATCAAAGCACTCAACGCAGCCTCCTGAAAAGGTGCTGGAGCAGAATCGGTAACTCTAATATGGATGTTTCTGATGGCAGATGCAATGACAGCTGGAGCAATTGCCCATCCAATTCTCCAACCTGATTGATAACACACCAATGAAACAGAGCAGTACTTTTAAATGGCAAGTCAACATAATAACTCAAAATGATGGATAAAAGTAGTGACTCAAAATTAGGACATGTTTAAGGCTAGATAACACAATGGTTATGAGAGATAATATACCAATTAAGAGCAAAAAATATAAGAGAATTTCTATCACGAGAAAATTTACAGTAGAATTTCATAGCGCAAGATTTATCTTTAACCTGTAACACTAAAAGTTTTAGACAAGGAAGATGTGATGATAGTTCGCTCTTGCATTCCTGGGAGTGAGGCAAGGGATATATGCTTTTCATCATGAAATATTATGTGCTCGTAAACCTGAAAAAAAAAATATGCCTACATTATTTGAGTACATATCTATAACACATATACAAGGAAGTAAGACCATAAATAAAATAGAGAAATTGAAGGCTACCAAAGTTATAGGTTAAGTGTCAATTATGAGAAGGAAAAAATAGAAGCATAAGTTGATGACTCAAGATACCAAGCCTTGGGATTCATTGAGTCCTTCCCAATTACTCTAAGGAGAATTAATACCTCAACAAAAAATCCAATAACATAAGGAGGGAGGTTCTCATTTTTTATCTAATACTTCCAATGCTTTTGATTTTATATTTGATATTGAGTCTTATATTTCATCCCTGAATCCTCTTCTGAGTTAGAACCTTTGCTTCAAAATCAAAAACTACTTGAAGTTCATGATCTTCGGTGCTTAAGATTTGGTTCCACTAGTCATGCCAAATTAGATAAAAACACCAAGCAATAAGCGCATTCATACTGGTTCCTAATAATTTATTGGACAATTACACCGTATAAGAAACTCCTATTTTCTCCAAACTCAATAGAGTAGTTCAGAAAGTAACTTTATGGAGCAGTAAGAATCATTCTGGAAGTTTTTGCACACCATATCCTAACAACCTAGCTTAGCCAATCAACTATTTTAGTGATTATCTCCTGGACCTTGATTTAAACCCTCTCTTGTATCCATTAAAGGGGATTACAATTACAAATATTCCATGACCTATATCCCCTGGTTAAATTCAAATTAATTATTGAGATTTTTAAGGAGCAAGAAGGTAGTTAACGCCATACTTCGTCCGTTATAGCTAGGCAATCCCTTTTGCAGCAAACTTCAGCTATAATCTCCAGTTCATCTTTATGGAAAACTTTGCCTGTTGGATTGTGAGGACTGTGCCACTCCATAGTCCACATCAGTATCTTTTCTAATCATCAACTTTCAGTAAATGAATGAATTAATAACCTGTTCAACACCACAGCTTTCGTTCTGTCAGTGAAAGCCTTCTTGAACTTCTCCGGATCCAAAGTCCAATGGGGAGGATCAAGCGCCATAAATACCTGTACCCATACGATCCACCCAACCCACAAAACAAAAAGGAAAAGTAAATTC